AATGAATGTATGTATAAGAAACAATCTAGGCAAAACATGCATGTTAAAAGATAAAAGAAATGGGTTTATCTACAGTGAACTTGGGGTCTTATTTTTCTTAATTTAAAAGGTCCAGTAAATAAAATTGTTAAAATTCCAAATCACACATTCTTTGTCACTAAAAGGATTTTTGAATTATTTTCACATTATCATACTTATGCAGGAAAAAAAAAGGCCATATAAAACTTTGGAATAATTATTGCCAGTATTTTTTTAAAAGTTGAATCAAACATCATCTCAAGTTGTGAAATACATTCCCTTCACATATTTGTATTTCCCCCTTTAAATTACAACAGGAATTTTCTAAGTTGTTTTAATAAGATGAAATACTCCAATCATCCACATATAGGATATTTCGATAAGTGCCTATTAGAAATGCTTGGTAAAAGTTTTATTGGCATCAAAACACTTAATTAATTTTTCTGAAATAGAAATTCTCAGCAGGCAAAAAAGATTTCTTTACTTGATAGCATTAATTTAATGGAATCTGAAACCTGCCTCCTATTTGCTACTAATTCTCAGTGAGAGAAAAAATAAGTCATTTGTGAACAGTTAGTTTTTTGAAAGAGTTGCCTTAATGGATATAAGGAATAAGTGCTAAAATAAACTGCCACCAAAATGTAGAAAGGAATAACTTTTAGACTTCATATGTACAAAATTTACCAGAATTATTTTTGTCATTCCAGAGCAGTGATTATTAAAAAAAATGTTCTTGCAATGAATTTATAGTATCCTTAGGTGGTTATTTGTATTTATATAACCATATTTTCTGTTCTCATAAAGTAAAACTTTATAAAGAATATAAAAGAATGTGTTTTTTATATTTTTATACTCTCAGTTTTTAGTATGATTTTGTACATTACCCCCAAAAGTTATCAGAAAAATTTCAATACCTATTTGTACATCATGACCTTCCCAACTATCTTCAAATTTCCTAATGTTCAATATATAAAAACTGCTCTATCATTTTAGTGTGCACATCACAAAGTGGCTTAAAAGAATTTAGTTTATTGTAACATTCCAACTTCAATCTCACATCCTAAGGTGACTGCCTCACATTTAACTTCATAGTGTAGACTCATGTTTATATTTCATTGTATTTACCCAAAATTAACATGGGGGGGTGGGTTGTCATTGATAATTTTACCTTTCAAAGGTATCTATCTCTTCTTTATGTATTTTATTTAATTATAGGGGTAACAGCAATCAAAATAACATATATGTGTATATATATATAAATTTTTAAAAATTCCTTAGGCTAATAGAGAACAGTCACCCATGTTCAATGAATAACTAGCTATCAAGAGTGTTAAAGCAAAGGAACTGTTTTAATGGTTGGCCTAAGCTACCTTTAAAACAAGTCTTGAAATGAAGTATTTGCCTATTCTGCTCTGTCTCTAGAAAGACTATTTTTGGCCTGTTGCAAAATATGATCAGGGACTGTGGCAACATCTTGGTTATGACTGTGAATGGTTGTAAAGAACAAAAAACAAAATAAAACCAAACCCAGTAACACATATAGATCCACACAGCCTTGACAAGATGTTTGATTTATAAAATGAATATAAATATAAATATTTTCAACTTTTAATTTAGTACAGTAGTAATAAAGTAATTCATTACAAAACTTGTAAATGATTTACCCCATTTTAGGTCTCCTAATGTGTGCTACATATCCCTCAGCATGTTTACACTATTAAGTTTACCGTGCTCACATTTCTAAAATAAAATTTTAAAAAGAATAGTTCTGCCCTAGCCTCTTAATTGTTCACTACAAGGGGTTTTACTCTATTAATTGAAATATGCTGTAATAAAAGAAGACATAGCACATTTTGATAACAACCTTCCCAAGCTGAGAAGTATTTACATTGTTGCATTTTGGGGTTGCTGTGAAAGCCGATTTTAAGCTATTCAGGAACCACAATAATAATGCTTTAAAATTCCTCACTGGGATGCAATGTAGTTCTTTTGAAGGAAAGACTGTCTTTCTCTTTCGGCAGAAATAAATCCATTCATTTGATCATGTAGTCATTGAGGGCAATACAAAACAAACCAAGTGTGAGAAATTCTATGTGATGAAGTAAACAAAAAAAAAACATTTCCATGACAAAAAGATTCTTTGTCCTTAATCTACCCACCATATGCAAGCGTTTCTTTTTTCTTTTCTTTTTTTCTTTCTTTTTTTTTTAAAGCATATCTTCTGTTTTAATCTTGGGTGATTTGGCTACATAGATAAGACTCCATCACCACCACCACCACCAACACACCACCAAAAAATCCAAAACCAAAACCAAAACTAGTTAAACAATTTTCTGTAATTCATGAATTCTACAGGAGTGCCAGAATACTGATAATATTAAGAATTTGAAAGGTTTCTCTCTCTCCCTGGATACTGAGCTACTTGTGCTTCAAACTTTAAAACACTCTGTAATAAACTCTAAAACCTCCTCTCCCTGACCTTCCCAGGATTGTGCCTTTTTAAAAAATTACTGTTCATTCAATTTCTATCATAAAATGTGTAACTATTTCTAGTCTGCTTGACTGGCAATACTATTCTTCAAAAATATGCACAATTAAAACAATTTATTTCTTAGCTATGTAAAGAGAGTGTAGCCCCTCCACAGCAATGCATCTACTATCTAAAGAGCTTCTGCACAGTAGCAACAGTCCCCTACTTATTCTTCCTTTCCAAGCACTCTGGAGGATATGGTAGTCCCGTAGCGGTGGGTTTGCAATTTTGCCAATCCGACAGATGTTTTAACCTGATGAAGTAGATTCGGACTGCCCCAAACATAAAGGTTATAAAGTACAGCTTCAATAAGTCAATATCCATGTCAACCTCCAACTTCCATGTAGCTCTCCCCCACCAGGTACACTTACACACACGCATTCTCCCTTTCTTTTTCAGTTTGAAAGCAGTTAGAACGAATGGGCTCCTTGGTGCAAAATAAATGATTTTGGTAACTGGAGGGGTACTTAAATACAAATGTCTCACTTCTGGTTACGGAAAGAGAATGAAAAGAAAGGGCAGGCAGAAATATTTAAAAATCAACAAAACAGTCAAAGGAAAGAAAGCCTCTTATCTACAAGACTACCCTAAAAGTCGTACATCTCAACCCCCAAGTTAATTTGCAAAGCACACTTGCACAGTTTTAGTATAAATTAAATAACAAACTCGGAAAACTTATGTCACTCCAGAAATGGAAAATGTGTGGTAATCGTAAATAAAATCCTTATCCAAAAAAATCAATTGTTTCTTGGCCTTTTGGTCAATTATAGAAACGCTCATTCAACATTTGGAAGGAAGAGTTGTGGGTAAAACAAGGGAAGGCCCGAGGTAAGTAAAAGCGGTGGGGGCGGCGGCTCACAAATGCAGCTAGGATACGAAACAATCACAAAACTAATAATGTAGGAAAAGCCTGATGAGGGACTTGAAACCAGAAAGGGAACAAAGATGGCAGTGAATGTTGCTTAAGAGTCCTTAGGGGCAGTCCTTTCCCGGCTCCCTCACCTCGGAAAAACTCCGCTGCCCCAAATCAGTCAAACCGCATTGGAGTTCCCTATTCCACCCTCGATGCCTTCTCAACTGCTAGCCCCTCCTTTTCTCCCTGAACCCCTTTCCTCGTTCTGGACAGAAATCTCTTCCTCCTCTTGATCCACAAATTTAGAGGCCAGGGAAAAAGAAATAAATTTCTCCCGAAAAAGGCTTCACACTTAAGAGAACCTCTCGGCCACCAGCTACGCCTGCCGGTGAGTGTGGGAGAAGGGCAGGAGGTCTTAGGAGGGGGCGGAGAAGAAATATGGGGAAGGGGGTGGGGGGAAGGGATTCCTCAGTGTCCTTCCACACCTAATGCTTCAATAGCAAGAAGCAGGCATCCTCTGGGAGAAAGCTTTCCCCAAGAGAAGTTACAGCCACTGCAACCACAGCTACTCCTGGAGTTGCCAGTGCTGTGTGTGTGTGTGTGTGTGTGTGTGTGTGTGTGTGTGTGTGTGTGTGTGTGAAGACAAGCGTGTTTATCGCGACTGTGTAGGGAAGAGTGTTGAAAAGGAGCTGTTTCCGGAATCTGTCCCCCCATTTACTCCCTCTTTCCACCACTCCCCTCCCTCCCTATTTCCCCAGCCCAATCCTCCTTGCCCTCGGCATCCCCGGCCGAGAGGCGGCGGCGGTCACTGCTGCTTCAGTGCACAAGCTGAAACAGAGGCGACACACATACCCACACGCACACACGCACACGCACAGACATCGAGAAAGCCGGGGAAAGAAGATGAGATGAGAGGAGAAAAGAAAGAGGAGATAACAGAGTTCCCAGCAGCCCATTAACTTTCCGCCTGAGAACCACAAACACCCACAGCCACAATTTAAAGCCCCTCCTCCCACTACCTCTTTCCCAAACTCTAGTGCCCTAAGGGCAACCAGGGCATTACGAAATGAAACTAGAAGAAAGGAAATTGACTTGCGGACTGTGAGCTGTCCCGGGTGCCAGCTCCCTTTTCTTCTACACACTTGCTCTCTAACTTAACAGTTTGATAATTTCACCACCTCCCCCCAGTCTTTCCTGAAACTCCTGCAGCCAAATGAACTCCCCAGGCAGATTCAACCAAGGAAGGTGTCTTCGCAGCAGTGGTGAAACCAAGAAGATCGATTTGAGCCTCTCGATTTGGGAAGTGTCGGGGGACGGAAACTTAGCGCTTGTTTTCAGAAATAAGTTAACTTTTCTCCCTTCACACACAACACACGACTGCCTTCAATTTTTCCTTCTTCAGATAGAGCAAATAATTTACTTCCTGCAACACCCTAAGGAAAAAGAACACAACCCCCTAAAACCCTACTCCCTGAAGTCTCCCCAAACTAACCCAATAATAACCTACCACAAAATCTCCCTGGCATGCCCACCCACGCCCTCCTCTTACTCTTTGCCCCCTCCCCCTTCTCGGACCCCAGAGGGAGAAGAGCCCCTTACCGTGTTCAGAAACTACCTCGGACTGCTGTAGCTCCTCGTCCGATTTGAGATGCTGAGGCTTGGCTTGCTTTCGACGAGACATGCTGCTAACTGCGAGTTGGTTCTGCTTTTTGCAGAGGCATCAGCAAAACAGCAAACGGGGGGGTGTGAGTGTGAAAATTGTTCGCAAATAAGTCGTGTTGGGGGGGAAATTGCAGGGAATTAGCTGGTGCGAGTCTGAGGAGTGCGGTGCGGCGGCAGCGGCGGCGGCTGCGCGGATTGCGCATGGGGCTGTGTAATTAGGCTGGTGAATAATGCATGGCGATTAATGGAGGGGGCGAGCTCGGATTGGCCGGGCTCCAGCGGACTCCGGCTGTCTATGCAAATGAGGGATGGGGCTCCGCAATTAGCCGCTTCACTCCGCCAAATGATGTGTCTCCCCAGCACCAGCACCTCCTGCTAGACGCACCGAATGCGGCGGTGTCGGCGGCGGCGGTAGCGGGAGCGGTAGCGGCTTCAGCAGCAGCAGCGGCAGCGGCAGCAGCGGCGGCGTCAGCGGCAGCGGCAGCTGAGGGGGTGACGGCGGAGGCAGCAGCGAGAAATGCAGGCATACACACACAACACACACGGGGCTGTGGCGTGTGCGCCCCCACTTTACACAACATGTGTGCAGCTTCACATTTCAGGGAAGGATAGTGTCCTTCCTCTAATCCTGACTTTGTCCCTTAGTGCTCTGGCTTTTCTTCTTCTTTTGGCTCTTTCTGTCCCCACCACCTTTCGCCCCCTATTATGCCACTCTCTTGTCTTGCTTTTCTTCTTTGCTCTTCTCACAAGAAGTTGTTTAGCTTTTCATATGACTTCTTGCTTTCTCGTGTTTGATGTTGTTGGCGGTTATGTTTTATTCGTCTTTGAGGGGGTGGGGAAAAAACTTTTTCTCTAGTCTTCCAACAATCTTCTCTCTCTCTCTCTCTCTCTCTCTCTCTCTCTCTCTCTCTCTCTCTCTCTCTCTCTCTCTCTCTCTCTCTCTCTCTCTCCCTCCCTCTCTCCCTCTCTCTCCCTCCCTTCCCCCCCTCCTTCCCCTTCCAGCTGACTTTTGTTCTTCCTCGTGAAGAAAACTAGACCTTGGCCAGTTTTTGTCTTTTACCTCTTTCTTCTTTGTCTTGCAGCTTCCCCCCACTGTTACAGCCTCCTCGTTGGTGGTGGTCACTTCCTGTTGTCCATGGATAGGAAGAGGTTCCCCCCTCCCTCTTTTCCTCCTCTTTCGCAGGTTGTGATGACTTTTTTTTTTTGGTGACACTTTTCAGGTTTTTTCCCCTTCTTTTTTGGATGTTTTCCTTCTCAGAGCTCTCTGTTCTGTTTGTTAAGGACCTGTAGTCTCTTTCTTGTGATCAGCTCTTATTTTCCGGCAAAGATCCACAACTAAGCTTCTTGTCCTTAAGGCTTTCTTTTAGTTTTAGGTGGCGGGTGATGGCAGTGATGTCCAATTTGCTCTCCCTTCCCCCCAGCCTCACTACTTCACCCTCGCACAGTTCAGATACACAACCGAAGGCTCCAAACACCACGTTGCCTTTCACGAATCGATGAATTCAGTCCTCCTCTTCCTGCGTAAAGAAGGAATGTGCACACCGAGGTGGCTGTTGATTTCGGGAAGATAAACTTTCAAGTTTGGGAGCGGTGTGGGTCACACGGCAGCTCCTCCTCCTCCTGCTCCTCCCGCCCTCCTCCTCCCCCGCCCCCACTCCCACTGCTGCTGAACTGCTCAGGCTTCTAGGAGCCCTGCCTCCCTCGACTTCACACCACCGCCCTTACACCCACCCTGGTCACCCCTCCCCCGCGACCAGCTCCTCTCTCCTGATCTGTGCTCCGCAGCAGCCTGTTCAGCCGTCAGCTGCCTCCTAGGGCTTCTCTCTCTACTTTCCCAACTGTAGCTTTCCTTAGACTCTGTCCCCCCCCTTTTTTTTTTTTTAATGTAACGAGATTCGCGCAGGGTGGGGAAGGAGGAGAAAGAAAGTGTTTGTCTTTGCTCCTTTCGCACTCTCACCCTCTCCTTTGAGGTTTCAAATTCCTTAGAAGTGCATCCCCAATTTCTTCTGTTCCTACTTAGAAAGTGCTCAGGTTTTTAGTTGTGGTGATTTGTTGGGTGGAGTTGTTTGCTCCTTCTGGGGCTTATTCAAAGCCTGGTGAAAATAGAGAGAAACGCTCGATTTAATTCAAACCTTTTGTCATCTGGCTTTAAAATATATGTGTACATATATTCCGTATATACATACGCATTGAGATCCGTGAGAGTGAGTTTGAAAGCAGTCTCTTTTGGAAACAGAAGCGCACTCGCACATACACGCACACATTCATACACGCACACATTCATGCACGCACACACGCGCGCGCACACACACACACACACACACACACACACAGTCACTCACATAAACAATGTTTCCCATAACAGGGATCCGCCGCTAGGATGTACCATATAGTTACTGATCGGCTTGACAGCCTCTACATCATCAGCAGCAGAAGACAGTCCACTCCCACCCCCCGCTGCCAATGTGTATCTAGAGATACATTTGTTTATATGTATGTATAGATATATTTTATTTAAATAATTTCTTTAAAACAATGATTCTAGATAGATCGACTCTTCTGTTCCTCTCCCTCACTATTATTTTGCTTTGAATGAAAAGAGGATATTAAAAGCTCCAACTGACAAGCACGCATTGGCAAATACTTGCTGGGGGAACAGAAGGGCAGCGGGACTTATTTGCAGGAAAGTGAATGCGGGAGGGGGCTCTGGGACACCGACCACTTAGAGGAATTCTCCACACTTCCCACCCCTAGGTAAAGTACCGGAGTCTCTGGCCATTCTCACCTAGGTTTCCTAGAGGGACAGGTTTCACTTTTAAGATTAAACTTTCCCTTCCTGTACCTTTTCCCTCTCCTTTAGTAGTTTTAATTTTGCCTTGAGGGCAACGCTATACTTCACTTTTTGACTCAGTCTTTGAAATGCGTAAAAGTCTACAGGTTGCAGACTCAGGATAAGCGTGCTTCCAATTCCCCTTTAATAGCTAACACACCTCCAGCTGATTTTTGTTGCACACGTTTTCCTTTAGCTGCTTCTGGGGGCGGGGGTGGGGAGGAAGCGGATTGATTTTCGAATTTGACAGTTGTCCCTTCTAACTCATTGTCACAACACTCGGAGATACAATAACTGGTTTGAGCTTAAACGAGTTTCGAACTTGCTAGAGCTGTCTAAAGCATTCTGTTCAAACTCCTTCCCTTTAGAATCACAGGCACTCTATTTAGAAAAGTTTGCAACCTGAGTATTGGGAAACTGAAATTACTGAAAGCTGCTGTGGTTTTCCCGAAATATAAGGGTTCGAGGGCGGGGGGTGGAGTGAGGGAAAGCAGGAGGACTAGCCTCTTGGGCAGTGGGAAGGCACGCAATTTACTGTAGGGTTTACAGCAATAGTAAAGTTTTGGAGACATAGGCAGCAATATTGTATACATGGAAATGCAGGTGAAAACGATTTTTTCTAATAGTAAAATAGAATGAAAATGGAAGCGGCCATGTCACATCATATGTAAAATTATATTATCTTCTTTGCACTTGCCCATCCCCCCGAACTACTGTATGTAAAGAAACACAGGTACGCAAGGTGTCGAAAACATCTGAGAAGAATTCCGAAGCCTTGGCTTAAGTCTTACGCGAATTTTCACTTTGAATATTCCCCTCTCTAGGGTCAATTTCCATTGCCTGTTCCCCTACCTTTTTTTCCCCTTTGTTTCTTAAGTTACCTCCCCTTTCCGCCCCTCCCCCTCCTCGCTCCCAATTGTATTTCCACCAAACTTTGGCTCTTACTATTTCACGAAATCTTTCTGAACACTGAATAATTGTTCAAACTCGATTTCTTTCGACATGTTTGCTACAAGGAAAAGACCTCTGAGTCACTGACAAAAAAAATCAAAACAAAACAAAACAAAAACTAACAAGATTACAACCTTTTTCTTCTGAGTTAAAAAAAAAAGCCTTCAGATTGCAAAATTCTTCGGCGACCGGTGTCATAGCTTGGAAAAGGAGAACAAAATCCTACCTTCAGTGTTTACTGCAAAATAGAGTTCACAAATGGTTATTGGGAAACTGAAGTTTTACAATTAAAATATTTGAAGTTCTTAAGATTTACATGTTGGGGAGTTTCTACTACAGGTGAAGTTTTTCTAATAAAGTTTATGCCTTTCTCGTTTTTAAAAAGAAGCAATTGATCTGTGCACTCTATCTGAAGTCTCGGGGTTTCGTATTATTCAGCATAGATCTCAATTAGATTTCGTTGAGTTGCTCAGCAGAGCAAAGACTTTGATGAAATGATCAGTAAAAACCCCTTAAACAGGTAACTGCAGACATTCCTAGACAATCTCCTTGGTCGCAATATGGTGTAAATAAGTAATTCCTACGGTGGACCTCCTTTTTTTTAAAAAAATTGATTTGGGTGAAGAAGATCAATCCAAAAAAAAAATGCAGAGGTCGAATATAAAGTCTCGCGTTTGCTTCATGACTTTACTTCGCCCCTCCCCCTTCTCAGATTCCCTCCATCACCTTCCAAGCTTCGAAAGTTTAAAGAGTTGTTTTATTTCATTTTTAAAGTTTTAATGAAAAGTCACCACCTAAATTTGAGTTGCTTTCGCAGTCACTACGGGATGATCAGTAGAATGTATTCCTAGATAAGACAACGCCTGTGGATGCGCGTTCTATAGTGTGTCACTGTGTAAATCCATGCAAGTAAATGTCCATCAAAGGGACAGATATTCAGTTATGCCTAATGCCATGCAATATGCTTCATCACGTGACCACTGTCTATGAAAATATTTTAATACCTAAATACTGTTGTAAAAACAAAAATTGCCTTTCTTCTCTATAATTAAATCTAATTTGTTAATTGTCTTTCCCCTTACAATGTTGTTTTCATCTTAAGAGGCGACATGTTATTATTTTGTCTGCTTAATAATATTATTTACAAATTAGTACTGTATTTTTACATTAATGAAACATATAATTAGGTGTTTGATTTAATTTGTATAATTTATTCAGATAAAACAGAAAGCTTATCTGCAAGATTGATTTAAGAAAGAGAAGAGTTACTTCCAACTATTTTTTAAACATCATGTTTTATTAAAGCTAAGCATTCCCAGATTCAGAAAAGACAGTTTTACACAAGGTGTATTTACTGTTTGTTACAATCGGTCTTTTTTTGTCTTCCTTTCTTTCATCAGCTTCTACAAAAAGAGTATTCAAATATTGGGGCTTTATTTTCAGTCCCTTTTCATTCTTTCTTTTAAGCCAAAGTTCCTTTCTTTTGCCCACTCATTCTTTCTTTATGGTCCTTCCTCCTTACAACTTTTGTTTTAGATGCTTAGGGTTAAATCGAGTACAATTTTATCTATTTAATGCTATAACGACTGACCACTAATTCGTTCTCACTTGAGGAAAGATATTACCATACTAATATTATTATTGGTAAGAAGAGGTAATTGATA